TGTTCAGCATGGTGACCTGGCTCACTAACATCAGTGCAAAGACCCCTTTTGATTTCCGTGGGAGTTATAACAATCTTGCCAGGAGGGTGTTTAGCATCAAATGCTGTACTTACTGTACTAAGTGATGATGTGGGGTTAAGTCATCCTCTGTCAGGGTATATGAAGTAGCATGTGGTTTGTTGAAAATGTAGCCTAAATACAAACGCTAAATCGGCACAAATGTCAGGAGCATGTTGATGAAGTGTGTTGATGGCACAAAGCTGGGAGGTTTTCCCAAGCAGAAAAGAACTGGTATGTTATACAAAAGGAATTGAAGGCACTTCGGGCTGAAATAACAGAAATGGGGTGAAATTCATTCAAGGTGCAAAATACTCACTAATACATCTGCAACTAAAACCTGAAACACCTCCTGTAATATGGGAGCTCATCTTTGGCAAATGACTGAAAGGTCATGAGTTGATTGTAAGGCAGCTGTGAGCCACCAGCCTGGAGCACTTGGAAGAAGGCTGTCTTCAGCTATACCAGGAGTAATATTTCTGGGAGAACCAAGGATGTATCAACCTAAGTGTTGTCATCTGGGGCTGATCTAATGGTGCAGTACTGCCTTCAAAATGAAGACATGATTCTTGTGCCCCTCCCTTACACTCAGCCACACACTCCCACTGTTTCCTGTGCACCATCTCTAGTTTCCTCAGACCCTTCTCATGGTCTTCTGCTGCCTGTCAGTCCAGTCTCCTGTAATGTTTGCTAACCAAGGGGAAAAAAAGAAAAGTTGGGTTTTCTCTTTAATGAGCTGCATCCATTTGCAGAGGGATCCAGAGAGATCCAGACCTGCCAAGTGGTAAATGACAGAAGTGTAGCAGGGAGCAAAGATAAGCCAAAAAGAAAGGAGTAGGTCCTTCGTCTACTGGGAAGTGGCTGTTAGGTCAGTGTAAGCCAGTGTGGGAAAACTGCTGCCATAGTGTCTTTGAATAAGGCTTTGTTAGAGTAGAAGTTCATCTGAAGCATTGTGTACCCTTTGTTGCTCACACAGGAATGGATCTTTTGGTGGCAGTTTTGCAGAGCAGCCAGAGAAAGGGTGTTGAGACTGCCTAGCTGCCCTCCAGAGATGCTCCTGGAGAAGTCAGAAGTTGGGACATGCTTGCCAGTTGAAAAATGGATTCTGCCAGTTGGCAGCCTCTGTGAGAGACTTATTCCTAGATCTCTACTTTGTGATAGCAACTCATAAACAAGAAGCAGACAGTGTCCTCCCTTCAGGGAAGTCTCAAACTCCCCAGACTCTGGCATGCCAGCATACAAGTGCTGCAAATACCATTATATGGACCTTTCTGTAAACCTTACAGGGGTTTTGTTCCCTCTACCAAAAACCTGGTCCAGAACCTTATTCGTCTACTCAGTAAAAATCTACCAATTTTCAGCTAAGTGTATTTAAGACCAGTGTACACATGGGATCAAGTAAACTCAATTGCAAAACAAGAAAGGAGGCAGTTAACAAGATATATAGCCACGCTGTCAATTACCACATTGAAAGCAGATGGTCACAAGGAAACAAATACAAAAGGCAAATTTACTGAGGGATGGCAACCAGCTTCCAGCACCTAGACTCCCCAAAAACTTCTCACATGCCAGAACTGGAAATCAAGTTCTGGAGACACCCTGCTTTCCAAAATGACCTGTTTCATTTCTACTTGTATTCCTGCTGTACCAAGTTCAGTAGCTGGTGACCTGGTTTTCATCAAATAATCCTGTCTGGAGGATCCCTTCAGCATGAAGTGGTACAGACACTTACAAGTCTTTGTCAGAGAGGCTTTGCAGATATTACACAAAGATAAACAGTCCTGATGGTTTTCTCAGGACTCAGATCTGGAGTAGCAAGAGGGATCCTTTCATCCTTTCACATGCAATCCTTTTGCAGTAGCTATGCCATGCAGCACTTTCTCCCCCTGCAGATACTCCTTGACTGCTGTGCCCACATCTGCAGGTCTCAACATCCTCTAAGTGATGCTTGAAAGGATACAGCACAGTGGTGAGGAGTGCCAGGGACCAGTGCAGTGCTCAGGAGTGCAGGAGCATGAGGAGTCTGAGCAAAACATGAAGGACAAGGTGCTTTTTGTCTTTCAGAAAGAGAATGGGGAAATAGGTCTAGAAAACAGAGTAGAAGGTATAAAAGGAGAGATGTGAGAACTGATGACATGTGTGTATGTATACATGAGAGAATAAGAGGCAAAGTTTCAAACTGGCAATTGGTTTGGGGTTTTTACTGAATATAGGTTGAAACTCCAAGCTGTAATTAATAACCTGAGCCTGGACCTTACCTGCTATAGGGAGTTGCTAACACATCCCTATAAAATGTCTTGCAAGGAAATAGCTAGACATAAATTCTGTGAAGCTTATGATTTCCAGCATGTTACCAACTTTATATAAAGATGGTCTGCTGTTATAAAGCATGGCAGCAAACATGGTGTCCTGGGTTCAGCAGTAGCAGACGTTTTTCTCCTTCTTAGTAGCTGGTGCAGCGCTGCGGTTTTGACTTTCAGCCTGGGAACAACGCTGATAACACCGATGTTTTTAGTTGTTGCTAAGTCATGTTTACTCTGACCAAGGACTTTGTGAGCCTCATGCTCTGCCAGGGAGGAGGGGAAGCCAGGAGGAAGCAGAGACAGGACACCTGACCCAAACTGACCAAAGAGGTATTCCATACCACAGCACATCATGCCCAGGATGTAGAACTGCGGGCAGTTACCTGGAAGGGCTAGATCACTGCTCAGTTGGGCTGGGTATCGATCGGCGGGTGGTGAGCAGTTATATTCTCTTCCCTTGTTATTTCCTTCATCATTATTATTATTGGTGGTAGCAGCAGTGGTTTGTGTTATACCTTAGTTACTGGGCTGTTCTTATCTCAACCCATGGAAGTTACATTCTTTCAGTTATCCTCCCCATCCCTCCAGGAGCTGGGGTGGGAAGGGGGGAGTGAGACAGAGACTGCATGGTCTGATTTACCACTGGGCTTAAACCTCAATAGTTCTTTTTGGTGCCCAACGTGGGGCACAAAGGGTTGAGATAACGACAGATCTGACCAGAGTGTGTCTAATAATATTTATGATATGCATTCATTGTTTCGAATTAATAGTCACTCGTCACAATGCTTATTTATTGGCTCTCGAAGTTGTTGCTCTTGATCTCACAGTTTCAGCACGTTGTACCTTACTTACAGCCAGTATTTGCTGTGTTAGTGTTTACTGGCTGAGGGCCTTGGGCTAAGATTCTTGTTTCATTGTACTTTATGATAATTACTTGTAATACAATAGGATCATGGATCATGAAACTGATCTGGCTTATGTTCCCAGTGTGGTCACCACCTCTATACTTTGGGAGGTATATAATAGAAGTGTTTAACAATTACACATCTTTTTTCTCTTCCTCAGGTGGTCAACCCATGAAGGAGACGTTCCCTTACATTCCCAGCCCCACCACCACATCATTTACAGCATCATTTGAGAGTTCAGAAGGTTTTGAATGGCCTTTAGGTACCCTTGAGACCTGCCTGCTGATTGTGATGGGGATCACCATGTTGGCACGCATATAGAGCATGTTTTACACACGACCATTTAGTCTAATATCAAGAGCTGACCAGAGTCAGGTTTGGGCCTTGTCTAGGGTTAGACAACGATATAGGAGGACCAAGAGATTTTCCCCGAGGCTGGACAGTCATGAGTGGCAGGGTGTATGGGATAGTATGGGCAAATGTCTAGGCCAGCGGATCCCTCCAGTGCTTTGGAATCTCACCACTGAACAAGTGCAAAATCCAGAAAAATTAGTCAAACACTTAAATGAGGTGTGTTGTCATTCTGGTCATACCAGAGAGGGACAAATCATGGCAAGGTGCTGGGGCTTGGCCTATGCTTACAGGGCCATGTTCAACACTATCCAGCACCTTCAAAAGGAAAAAAATGTCCCTGGATCTGATGGCAGCACATCTACCCCAGGTCCAAGCACAGCAGCTACACCAGCCCCAGCAACAAGTACAGCAGCTACTCAAACCCCAGTGACAAGTACAGCAGCTACCCAAACCCCGACAATGGATACTGCAGCTAAACCAGAGGACCAATTCATACCAATATTGGTTGCTCCTGTACGCAAGGGGAAAAGCAAAAAAAAAAAAAAAGACAAGAAAGATGAAGGAACAAGATAAAGGAGCAATGGCAATACGCTTTCTACCCAGGACAGCATCTGATCATCACAAGACGAAGAAGGTCGACCTTAGACCTCAACCAAGTTACAGAAAATGTGAAGAAATTTTACCAGCCAACCAGGGGAGCACATCATCACCTGATTGTTCTGATGTTGGGACAATGGGGCTGATGGTCACGAGCTAGAAGGTACAGAATCCAAGCAGCTGGGATCACTTGCTAGGGAAAGCAATTGCAAGACAGAAACAGTCCCTCAGCCTTTGGAGGCGGAGGCGGCTCTTGGACACTGTTTAAGAAAGGTTTCCATACAAGGAGGATGTTATGAGTTGTTCGGCCAAGTGGACTACTTTAGAGAAAGACATCCAGTCTCTGAGAGAATCAGCCATTGTAGAGACTACCACATCAAGCCAAATAATGGGGATCTACCCATAGATCCAGATGAAGTTGAATGTACATGACCAAGATGTACATGTGGCAGAAATCTACATGGAATGCACTGTCATCATATGCCCATTCATTGTCAACAGTAACGTGAAATGACATAGTACCACTAACAGTAGATGAAATGATTCATAAACTCCGAGAGTTCTAAGACAATCTCACCCCTTCCATCATTTCAGCTGTGGAAAAACTGCCCCAAGACCTCTAATCATTCACTTTACTGGGTAAAACTGCCCCACGGCCAAGTGCCAGCTATCCTGAGGGAAACTTCGGAGGGAACCAGCTACTAGATGGCTCAATTAGTCTTTCGCCCCTAGACCCGGGTCAGACGACCGATTTGCATGTCAGGACCACTATGGAACTCTACAAGAGTTTCCTGAGAAAATGCCATCAGTTATTAAAATGAACTCTACTTTGCTTCACAGGCTTCTGAATGTGTGCGAATTAGGTCGAACTTGCCTGTAGGGTCAGGGACATACCACTTCTCCCAGACTTCAGCATATGAAGCTGTTCTTCCCCATGGCTTGAAATGTCCGTTCCAGTGGAGCAACTTGGCAGTTTTCACAAACTGAGGAGTGTACCTTTTTCCAGCAGTAGAACCGAGATGCTGGACATTCCACATGGGGACAATACAGGAATGTTGCGTGTAAAGTACAATTAGCAATGGAGGTGTTGTAATGCTGCCAGCCAGAGTCCTACTGTAAAGTTGCTTTACTATATTCAGTGCTATCCACTTCTCCAATTGCTTCGTGATGTTCTGCAATTTGCATTCTGTCAAATTGGCAACAATAACTCCTGGATTGAAAGAGCAGGTGTTGGCTTTCATGGCAAGCTTTCGGATGGTTTCTTTTTTGTAATCTAGAAACCCAGTGTAATTATACTGATTGACTGCCCCATGGACAGCAACTTTATTGGTGATTGAGTCACAATCATCTGAAAATGCAGCTGCATGTCCAGGTTTCAAAGGAATGTTGTAATTGTACAAGATGATATTCTTGAACGTTAAAGGGATGATGCCCTGCTCCCCTGCCAGTGTCATCAGCAAGTGCTTTCTGAAATGCTGCTTGGAAACATCTTTTCCAGCAACTGTTTTCACTTTTTGTGTAACCTTTTTAAGTTCCTGTGGCCCATTTCCCCCACCTTCCTGTTTGTTCTTGAGTAAAATAAATGCAGTAGTCATATGTGAAAGTATGTTCAGAGACCATTAATGGTATTTTACTTCCTGTGTTTATGTCAGAATTTTGGAGACAGTGGTTTATACCCACGGCTGAAAATTCAGATTTGAGCTTGGGACAGTGATTGGGCTGAGTTGTCATTGCCATGTTTTGACTTTGTGGATTATTCTTCTTTATTACAAAATTCTTTTGACTTGACATGCCTAAAAAGGGGGCAAAAGCACCCAAATGCTTTTATCTTTTCTCTTACACATAACTGCAACAATAACATAATAATTTTCATTTTAAAGTGCACAAATGCCATTTTAATCACTTATTGAGCATCTAACATAATACAAAGGAAAGGATGAAATGGAATATTTGTGGCTGCAGAGACAGATATCATTATTCAAGGGTAGAAGCATGTGAAAGGGTAAAGGGGGTTTAAAGAGATATTCTTTTGTTGTACTTAACACTGATAAATGACATACAAGTCAGGATAACAGGGCAGAGCTCCTGTCAGGGAGACAATGATAAATGTGGAGTCTGGAACAGAAAGGTCCACTAAACAGAAATCTGTATATGACACACTGTACATTTGATAGACTTGCCTGCATGGTCTGACTAAGGCACAAAGTGTTCCTCTAGGCTGAAGTTATGGCCCTTGAGCACATCTTATGCAATCACGGAGCTCATGTTTATGTTCCCATTTTCGTATAGCAACAAAGATCAATTCTCCTTAATCAGTGCAACGCACAGGACTAAAACCAGTGAGGAAAAATGTTCTTATACAAATATAATTGATATCTTTTTCAGGCTAATCTTTGTATAATATGAAACAAAAAGCAGACAGTATTATTATTATTATTATTATTACTGCTGTCTCAAAAAAAAAAACCCAACAAACCACGAACAAACAAAAACCCCAAACCACCTCTTTTTTTAAAAAAATGCCCAGTGTTAGCCTGTTACTCAAAATATTTGTTTAAGAGAAAACAAAATCCCTAATTATTTCTTTTTTATAAATAGAACAGAACGTCTGTGATTTATGCAGTAAGCTTCCTACATCCTGTGCTCCAGTGCAACATGACCTGTACTTCTCAAATGTCCTTAGCATCAAAGATTAAGATGGAAGAGTGGAGACAGCCAGAAAAGGCATTCATGTCCTCAAGAAGCAATTTTAACAGTTCACGAAGAAAAAAAATCCAAGAATACACTCATGCAACATTCACTGTACCCTCTTAACAGATGACTAAGGCTTACACTTTCAATAGGAGGAACGTTCATGAAGGGATAAGTGTGATATCAGGTGAGAACACAAAGGAAGATTGAATGAAAGTAATTCAGCAAGATTGGTAGAAGATTAGAGGCTGATGGTCAGTCCCTTTTGGATTCCTTTAAGCACACAGACATTTTTACTGGCATATACTGCCAGTCCCACTAAGTGCTCTAAGTCTGATGGTGTAGTGGAGAATTGCCAAGTTCTAGGTGGAAGCACTTTCTCTGTACTCAAAGTTATGAACATAGCGAGTTTCATCTTATACTGTAGGTGAAGCTACCATACATATGCCTGTGGTTACCAGTATGTGCTGACACAGACTTACAAAGATGAGTCACAAGGGCAGCACTGAAACCTGAATTTCAAAGCTACCCAGCTTCCTATCTACAAGCTCTGGCACCTGAGCACCAGTTTAGAGCCAGGTACAGTATGCTGGGTGCTTTTGTCTCTTCCCTTCTCCAGTACAGTCTCAAGCAGTGATGTACTAAGCGCAGAGGCACATTTGCACTCCAAACCACAATTTCCTCTCAGTGAATTTAGGACTGGAAAGCAGATGGGATAGAGCCTTGGTCTCCCTCGACATCATTGTGCAAAGGAGACAGAGACAGCAGCACAGGAATCCATGTTCACTTGCCTCCTGAAAACTCCCTTCTTCCATAGTCTACTGGGACTGTGGGAGGGACCACTGACAGTGCTGTCAAAAATGTTTTATACGGAAAAAATACTGGAGGCTTTCCAAACACTCACTCATTTCAGAAACAGGTTCTCCAACCTGTTCTGCATAGAAGAGGGGACAGAGACCATCTCTACAACCCTACAGCTGAAGTGAAATCCCAGGGCTGGGTTTCTGAAAGGGTGGCCAACCCCAAGCACCTCTTAATAGTTATTGAAGTGGGAAGAACTGCAGATCTTAACACAGTGAGGCCAGGTAACTGGGTACTTACAGAAAAACTGCAGATTTGGTGGGATCTTAAAAAGAAACAAGCCCCTTAAATAAATTCTGGTGCCTTTGGGACCACTGCTCTTTAGAAGCTATGTTTAATATTCATATAAGACAACCTCAACCCTCAACACTAACTGCCTCTGCTACTGTTCACTCATGTCCTTTGCCTCTGGATCTGATACATTCTTTGTGCACTAGGAGCAGTGGGAGGAAAGAGTGCACTTGTTTTTAATGCAGCTTTCCTCCTCACTGCAGCTCACTAACACTAGCTCTAGCTGCGAGAAGGGCTTGTTTGTCCTCCTGTGTTTGCACATGTACGCTGGCACGTTCTGCATCTTGTCAGTACTGCAAAGTCACTAACCAGCAAGGGTCCATACATACCCAAAAGGGTTTACAAAATACCCCAGCAAATGGGTGGGAGCTTTTTCAAAGCATGCCTTTTCATAACGTGTTGCCTTGACACTGCAGCTAAAACTGGTTCAGTCTAAACAGATTCATTTGGGGACGAAAAGGGAGGGGAGAAAAATAATATCCTATCCCCCACACTCTGTTTTCTGACTTAATTTGTTACCTTTTCTAATGCAGGTAAGAGTTAGCATTCTGATACAGAAATCTCCTGCCAGTCCCCAGAATAAAATAGTGCATTAAAATAACAGACGTCACAGTCATGATTTTAAAACCATATTGCAAGAGTCTCTCCGATTAAAATGCATTTCTCTGACTGAGTCTGAATGTTGATTTCAGGCTAGGGAAGCTGTTACTTTAGGATGGGAAGAGAAATATGCTGCATTTTCCCTTATTTTACTACTACAGTACCTTTTGGTATTAATATAGGTGAAAGGGAAGAATTTATTAAATGTTAACTGTTTGCTATGTATATCTTGTTTTTTCATTTTAATCCTGTAAATGTTTGACAAGAAAAGAGGAGAAATAAACTCTAGGGGGACTTTTTGAAGAAGAGAAGTCTATTCAAGAGTAATGTAAAATGCAAATTAAATATTTGTTCAGTGTTTAGTCATTCCTCAGAGACTAAAAGAAATTCTTCATCACAACTTCCATGCTGACCTTCACATCAAATCAGAAATCTTTAGTGTTTATGCAGAACGATATACATTGTCCCTATAAGCAACTGAAAAAAATGAATGTTTTATAGCGGTTTTAGTTTGTTTCAGGGGTCATTTTGTGAGATATCTTCTCCCTGAAGACTACAATTTACTTTTTTACAATTTCATTTAATGATCTGACATTTGAGACACTTCCTAATTAATCCTGTCTCTGACTAAGCCAGCTGTGATAAATATAACCTGTGCATACAGGATTATATTGTTGCTTTTAGAAAATACATCCAATAGGAAAAGATGACACTTCCACAATAGGACAATGGGACTTATACATTACAGGATTTATATCAACCATATCGTAAATGATGAAACTGTTATTGTTAATCTGGAGTAGCTACTGTACTAAATAGCTAGAATGAAAGGCTGCACCAAGTAAGGGGAAGAGCATAGACTGCTTAATACTTTACTAAATATTTTTCATGGTAAATGTTAGTTTTTAACACATGAAAACAGTTATTTCAAAGTTTGACATTCGTAGGATGCTTGTTTATAAAACGTTTGCTAACCAAAACAGTTCCCATGTTGAGCACATCCACACAGCAGAGGTCAACGCAAGGCAATTCAGCAGGAACATGGCATGTGTACTCCCCTTTGTAAACCAGAGGGAACAATCCCAAGAAAGGACCAAGCATCAACCAGGGAATGCTGTGGTTAAAGGAGTCACACTACAAACATGCTTTCCTGCAAAATCATGATAGGTTCATTTTTAAAATGGCTTTATAAGCAGTAGCTGTGACAACTGTTGACAGGATTTAGGGAGGCCAGTGGACCACCTGGCAGAGCAGACTCTTCATTAACTGTGTACAGTTAGCCATGGAGCTTGCTTATTAGCAAATAAAAAAACGTTTTTAGACCTGACAAACACTCCTGGATACTGCCCTAAATTACAGACTGCAAGTTCAAACTTTTTCCGGGCATCTTTACTTCCAGATAAATATTCCATGTTCTTTTCTCTTTTTGTCCAGTAAAAGGGGATTTGAAAGGGCAGTTTTACATGCTACTAAAGTTGGGGATTTTTTCCATCAAAGAGCAAAAATCTCTAGAATAAAATTATATCGAGCTGTTCATTATTTGCTATATAACAGATCATGCTGTGAAGGAAATCGTAACTGTAACAACTGGAATAAGTCTAATACTTCTAAATTTCTGTTTCTATGGTGACTTTAATAAATATTCTTTTCAAGATAAATTTAGATACTCAGGAACATAAATGTTTCCTGCCTTCTGTTTCAGACAAAAATAGAATTGTATTTGCAGAGATATGTTTTAGACACATTTGGCATGTCTTCTCCAGATTGGCACTTTCTTGGTGACTATTATTTTTACAGAAAAGTGGTGGATAGCCATAAATATTAGTTTATTTAGCTTAGGGGAAAAAAAAAAAAAGTGGTTTGGCAAGAGTCAGCTTTCAATAACAGGAATAGACTTGATATAGAAAAGGGAAATTCTGCAGCTCCCAGTGACTGCAGTATGATTTTCAGCTTTGCCATGGCCATCACTGCAGAAGTAAGAGGAACAGCTTGGCCGTCAGAGATGACTTGGTTGCCTAATGTCCAGTGACTGCAGGTTTGTTCCTGATCTGGTCTTGAGGCCTTTGCATGAGCCAGCCTCACTTAAGCACAGGATGCTCAACAAATTAGACTTTGCAGAAGCAGACCTTCTGGTATCTTGCTGTGAAGTTTT